TTACTAAATATCTGTATACACAGCTCGGTGCAACTAAGAAGTAAGAACTTCTATACACAACCCGAGCAGCGAATTAGAGAGGATTGAGGATCATCTCTGGATGGAAATCGAGGCAAATAACTCTTGCGATATTTCATGTATCAGATGGAGATGCAAATCCAGATGGACGATGCATCACTCATTTCGAAATCATCACCACTTTCTATCGCAAACTCTTTCATTAAGTTCATTGCTGAGGATTTATTCAATTTTAGGATTAAATATTTTTTATTTTACAGACTGAGGGATTATTCTGGTTCCGGAGCTCGAAAAAAACCTATTTTTATTATTTTTTTTACACGGAAACTATTATAGATATTTATATTAAATTTATTCAGCTCAACAAATACACTCTTGAATAACACAAAAAAATTCTAACTTTATTTTTTTTATGAATAAACAATGGATGAACGGAGCTCTGACAAAACGTTGGTATAAACCTGACGTACATGATAACTTGATAACGGCTCATCTAAAACACAAAAACCAAAATTATTTACCTTCAATACATAAGTAGTTATTGCACCAGCGACGGAGATTAATATTTATTAATAAATAACAAAATGGCAAAGATTAAAAAAAAAAAAAACTGAAAAATGCGGCTTTTTTCACAGTTTTTGCTCCTAAAAAAATAGTAAAATTCTAAATTTTGATTTGGTTGAAGCTGATGCAATTGCTACTACTATGTAGAATATGCCGTTTAAATTTCATTAAGATCGAGTCAGTTGTTCCGGAGATATCATGTACGTAAATCAGAAAAACATGATTCTGAGATAATCGCGTTTAAAGTTTTTTTAATAAAAAAAATGTCTTACCTAAAGTCAGTCAGCCATGCCAGCAACATACAAAATCCCTTGAGCATTTTCAAAAATTTTATTTTCTTCCACTCGAACATCTACATAAACATCCTAAAATAATATAATTACAGTGGCCCGATCACCTAGAAATTTTAATACAATAGTTTTAGATTGTACTTTCGAAAAATGTAAAAAAAAAATTTTTTTGTCAAAAGTTACAAACCAAAATGATACTTTAGTATGAAATTTTATTTCACTACGCTTTTTAATATTTCGGTCTTAAATCTTTAACGACTTCGAAAGTTTAAGCGCTTTTAAATAAGATTACGCGTAACTTGAATTTATTTCAATTTGAATATATTATTATTCATCTAAGTTCTATAATGTCAATTTTTTTTAGTTTTTTTATGAAGAATCGACAATTTTATATTTGAAATTGTTCGCTTGGAAATATTAAAGAACAATCTTTAGGGAGGTGTATCTAACATTGTTTCATTGTTTTCTTTGTGCATAAAATAACAGCGGTGTTTTTATACTCTTCTTTTCATGTTTTTCTTTTATAGAAAAAACATAGAGTGGATATATTCTTCAATTCTATTTGTATGAAAGTTTAATGATATCGTTTGAAGAACGTTTGCGAGGTTGATTATGCTTTATATACAATGTAAAAAATTGCAGATGATTTTAAACTTTAAAAGATGATTGAGTTTTTATTTTTTTTAACAATAGTTCAATTACTCATTAAAATAAAAAAAAAAAAAATTTACTTAATAGAAAAATTTTTAATTTTTATGCAAAAAATTTTTTCTTCAATCAAGTTTTGAATGCGAGAATTAAATTAGCGCTAAGCCACCTAGCGGCAATTTTCAGAACCAACTTCTGCGAATTTGATAATAAAATTTTGAGAGTCCTACTCACCCTTAGAGGACATATTTCCCGGAGAAATTATTAGAATTTTCGGACAATTGACTATAAATATCAGGAAACCGGAATTCCGGGTACAAAATACTAGGGGTTTAAAATAATCTTCAGTGACAGTCCTCGTTAGCATGAATTTCTTCCTGTCCGACGCGGAAGGTCGGAATCATTTCCGTCTTTATTTAGAATCTATCGGCTTGAGTGAGTCCGAAATTCAAAATGAAAAATTCAAAGGGATGAATTGGAATTAAAGTTAGAATGGTACTGCGGAGCGAAAAATAAAAAAGAGAAGTGTGTCTACTGATGGTGACAAAAAATAGTTTTTTACATGAGAAATAGGGGCTGACAGTTCGGGACCCTCGTAATCCCTGACTAAAGGCCTCGTTTAATATTTATGATTTATTTCGGTTTAATTCCGGCGCAAAGACGCTGGATTTTAACCCCTGCGCTATTATTTTTTATTAGCGTGAATTAAATATTTATAGTTCAAATTTCAATGACAGGAGGGAGCTTTTTAGCTGTTAAATGTTAGTGGAAAAATTGAAAATTCAAGACACAAAGATGGCTTGGATCAACAAAATTAAAAAATTTAACTCAAAATGCCGAAAAAATTACATATTACTAGTGTATCAACAATCTTGTGCTGGCTAAGTAGTATCACTTATTTTTAACAGCGCGGACCGATCAGGGTTCGAGTCCGGTCTTGAGTAAATTTTTCCATTAATTTCACTTTATAAAAAAATTAATATTTTCAAGCCTAGAATATTAAATTTATTGATTCAAGTATTTTTTAATTGAATTTAAAGAATAATTTCTTAAAGTTGCAAGTTTTGTACTTTGTGATAAAAATGATTTTTTTTTTTTTGCTTAAATTCAGAATAAATTATGTTTTTATCAAAATTTATTTTCTCAATTGAACTTTTTGAATGCAACTAATTTAAAAAACAATTTATTAAATTTAAAAAAATATTCTTGGTCGAAATTAGCCTTCTTTTCTGTGCGGTTAGCTCTGAAAATTTGTGAAAAATGAAGGGAAGCTTGGACAATAGCAAAATAGAGTCACCCTCTCAGAAATGTATAACGAGCGTTACGTGGCCTCTGTATTAATAAATCTCAATTACGTAAGTTAATAAAAGGGGGTAGGTAATTCGTAACCCCCTTCCCCTTCCCCCTCCGCTGTCTTGCGAGGGTAACCGCCAAGGGGATAGTGGCCGGACGTGGGGTAACGCATTCCTCGCTGGTTTTACTTCCGAAATTCTAGTCATCCCCATTGTAGACATTGCACACAATGAGCTATTCTAAGTGTATTATATAAACACTGTATTCATCCTCAATTTATTATTTAATTGTGATTTATTTACCGCCGCTGATGGAACTAAAAGGATTTTTCAGTGAAATTAAATTATTCTTTCCGTTATCGGTCCTCTTTTTTATTTTTCAACAGATGAGATTAAAATATAAAAAATTAGACGAATTAAGATGATTCATTAGAATGCAAGTCACGTTGTAAGACTTGTACTTGTATGAGAATGGATAACGAGAGTGACAACTTGAATTAGGAAATAGCTGAGGAAAAAATATATATAAAAGTTTAGTGCAGTCAATGGAGATTAAAAAATTTTTACGGAAAAAGTGTAGAGCTTACAGTTTAAATTGTAGGGATTTAATTATTTTTACCAATAAGATTTTTCAATAAAAAATTGTAAATTTAACAACTCCAAAGTGGATTTTTTAGTCATTTGAAATATTAAAGCAGTACTTAGATTTTATTTTGGGAGCTTTCAGTATTTGGGAACTATTAATTCATAAATGAACCTGTAAGAATTAATATTTCCCGGTGGAATATTTTTTGGTTAATTAACAAAATATTTTAAACTTTAATAAATAATATAAATTATACTGTGAACTAGTAAATGCCAAAGGTTTATAAAAGAGCTGGTAATTATTACAGCCTCTACACTATAGAATTCTTACACTTTTTGTTGCTAGGATTTACCACTACTACACTAACCAATAAATTTAATTATGGAGGAAGTAGTTTTAGAAAACTTTAAATGTTAAAAGTAAAATTCCAAGTTTGTCAATTTTAACAGTTTTAAATTGTAATATTTAAAGGTTGTTAGTAAATCGTTTAAATACGAAAATAACTTGTTTGGTTTTGTTGTTGTGGATTGGCCGTGTGTCTAGAGGATGTGTCTTAAAATCAAGAGGTCGAGTGTTCGAGTCCGTCATCCGGCAGAACAAATAAAAGTTTGTTACTTTACCAACGAGGATTCGAGTGTCATCTCCTCTTTCATTTATACTATTTTAGATTTCAACGCTGGAAAATTTATAGTTTTAATAAGAATTTCTGGTGTTGGAAAAAGAAACAAAATAACGACTTAGTTGGTAAGGCTTCAGAAATTTGTAAGCAAAATTAGCGTCGGACTGTAATTACTAAATATTATAATTTTTTTGCAAAAATTAGTGTAAGGTTGTCACTTTTAAATCACAATTAGAAACTAATAAAATTCCGACAATTATTACAACTTTTACAATTTCTCTACTTTTTTGAACCATAATAAATACTGAGCACTCATTGAAACCATTCATAAAGCATATTTCCATACGCTGACTCGAATTCAGCATAAAATGATTAAAACGCCTCTAAATGTCAAGCAATAATACGGTGAATGTCATTAAATCTGAGCGTGTAAACCCGGCATTAACCCCCAAATATCCGAGATAGTTCGAACGAGGTGATCTGTCATCAGGCCGTTTAATGAAACTCGCCCTCGTAAGTCACTCTCTCTTTCTTCTTAGCTATCCCAGCATCACCACCACCAAGCCTCGGCAGTCCACAGCAAGGTACACCTACAGCAGAAGCAATACAAGTAAACCGGGCTTAAGACATAAGACATCAAGAAATGAACACCCCGAAATAACGATACCCGTAAGCGGGAGGAGGATGAAGCTAGAAATTTTGGAGATAGAACACTTAATCCAAGCATAGCAATATTAAACCCTCGTGCGGTTACAACAACGTTAACTTTCTCACCCCCTTACAGCGTGTTCACCCTCCACCCTTCAGCCCCTGCACGTTAGTTACCTAACTGAGTTATCCAGTGTTCTCATTCTCTTTCCAGCATCAGGTTACACCAACTTTCCCGTTAATTTAGGTCCATACCTTCTCCAATGTTACCTAGATATTAAACTTAACAATTTTATTTATTTATTTATTTATTCATTCTCTGAATTATTTTACAGAAGGATGGCGAGACTCTGTGTTGGGTGCACCAAGACGTTTTCTTACTACCCTTGGCAGTCTTTCGAGAGACACTTCACCCTTTCCTACCTCGGTAAGAACTTTTTTTTTTCACTAAATTTACCCACTCATTAAATTTATTGCATAAAAACTTTCTTGTCGTTAAATTCACATTTTTTTTTTTTTGATAATTTTTATTAACCATCGATGTACTTAGTAGTGTGATGCGTAGGGTGATCCGTCATAAGTCGGGTAAAAATGGTCGGAAAAAAAATTTAAAAAAAGGAAATTAAAGCTTAGAAGGCGTACTCGAAGGTAAAAAAAACCAAAATTGTGAAAAAAAATTTTTTAACCTACTTATGAGGTAAAAACGAATTTTTCGAAAAACTGATTTTTTGGTTTTTGGGAAAAATGATATTCAAAAAAATTTTTTTTTAACTTTTAGATCAAAAGGGTTTTAAACTAGATACTTTGAGTTTTAAAATGAGCTTTTGAAAAAATTTTTGCGACTTATAGTTGCTGAGATATTGCAAGTTGAAGTTAGGCGTAAGATTTTCCGAAAATAAGGGATGAATTATGTAACAAAGAAAACTTTTTCTACGTAAATTTCACATGAAAGTTTGACACGGTATCTTTTTCTGAGCACTTTTAAGCTTGCTTTAGGCTATAAGCCAGCTAATAATTCCGGGTTGTTCATCAAGTAATTGAAATGGGAAAAAAAAAACTTATCATATATACTGACTTTCCTGAAAAAACATTTCCGTTCCACCAAAAGTTTATTTAATCGAACAAATATATTTATCCATCTGGTATTTATTTGTTTATTTTTTTATGATATTTGTGAATGGATGTAAAAGCATCAGGGTGCGTAAAAGAGCCGTTTATTTACCGAGCTCCTTTCACGAGTTGGAATACAACTTCACAAGTTTACACTTAATCATCAAAATGGACTTGGATTGGAAATGGCAAACTTTTGCCGTCTGCTTTAGTGGTAGTGATGGTAGTAATACCACACATATATATAACAACAACATACAGAGCTAGTAACCCCGCGGTATTCGTTTGCTCTCTACCCCGTGCGTTTAGTTAGCGACACTCTCTTCCCTTTGAAGTCCAATGCCGATGTACACCGTATCATTTCCTCTATTCAAGTAATATATATTTATATACTATTCTCGGGTCTTCATTTACAAAAACCTTGATCATGCTTATTAACCAATGGATCCGTAAACGTTCCACGTTTCAAACGCCCTACGCTATCCGACTACGACCCTTTAATTATATTTGTTTCTCATTACCATTACTTTTAGAGCAATACCATTATTTATTGATTTTTTTTACTAATAAATTTTATAGGCACTTTTTGGATTTAAAAAAATTAACAATACATTATTTATTTAAATATTTTACTGAAAAATGATATTACGTGTTATTATTTAGTCCGAGGGCGTAAGGGCAGATGGCACGTGACTCATTTCAAGCTTTAACATATCAACCCCTAGTTACTTTTATATCAAAATACAAAACCACACACACACATTGTTCCTTCGGAGTCTATCTAGCCCTAATTTTTCTTATATTTATTTCCTTCCATTTTACCTCTCACCTTCATCATCATTATTATTATTAATGATTAATCCAAGTACTTAATCAAAAAAAAAAAAAAAAAAACCCCTGACAATAAAAAATACAATAAATAAATTAGTTTATCGCTTATCGTAGCATTGTATCGATTTGTAATGCGTTATTTATTATTTTATGATGAATCGTCAAATAAATCTCTTGATATTTATTTATCATTGCTGTCCCAAGAATAAATAACTATATATTTAATAAAATAAAATAAGTATTTGATTCTGGGTGTGGTTTACCTGGAATCTAATCAATATCAGCTGACCCCGCGGCCATTTTTATCTATAAGTCTCTTCATTATTTTAATTACCGGTTTGGATTTAAATTTACAAAAAAAAATTTTTTTTCTTTTTTTCTAGAAACGGCCCCGTTTTTGCGTACTTGTAGACTCGGTGATAAACAATGAATATTATTTTTGAAAAAAACCTGTGAGTACTCAAACTCTGCAATTGTTAACCTAGAATAATAATAAATAGTTAGATTTCATGTTACATGAACTTATGACCTCTTGTGGGGTCAGAAAAGCACAAACTTTTGAAATCGATAGTGTAAATAATTAAAAAAAAATTATTTATTTAATAATGTAAATTTAATTCAAAGAAATAGCTTGTAAAAGTTGACTCGAAATAAAATTGAAGAATATTATATAAAAAAAAAAAATTGATCATAGCTTTGCCCTTGATATTTTCAGAAGTTGTAGTGCTTCTTTATCCTCTCGTCGAAAAGTAATTTTCTTATGGGTGTCTGGAAGATCTCTCGCCTCACCACTTGACAAGAGTTATGACTCTATCTTCATCGTATATATTTTCCGTGTGCTTTCTTGAAAGTACAAAGGTACTTACTGTTAAGGCATTAATAAAAGAAAAAAAAAAACTTTTCAACATATTTTCTTTTACGACTCTTATTTATTCATTTTCATTTATTTATTTATTTAAATAAACACCCTGAGGGAATATGTGCAGTAACGAGATCGTATCTGACGCGTTGCGTGTCATTTACATATTCAGCCCGTAGGCGCTCGGATCTTACGCTTGGCAATACTACTAAATTCGTCGAAGGGAAAGGGGATGGAGATTTCAGGGGCGCGATAGTTATAGAGAAAGGCCGAGGGGGCTCAAAAATTGAGTAGCTGTGGGATTCTGAATTGGAAATTTTCTAATGCCAGAAGAGGGATTACTTCATTTACATTTCGCATTTACTCTCGCTATTTCAAGCGCAATCGCTTGGTGTTCTATATATCAAACACACTTCAAAGTTCACAAAACAAAACCCTATACGTGATTTTCAAAAATATTCAAACTAAAAAAAGTTTTCTTTGTTACATATTTCACCCCTTATTTTTGGAAAAACTTAGGTCTCACTTCAACTCGCTATATCTCGGCAACTATTGGTCGTAAAAATTTCTTCAAAAGCTCATTTTAAAGCTTAAAGAATCTACTTTTAACTCTTTTGATCCAAAAGTTCAAAAAAAATTTTTTTGAGTCTCATTTTTTCCAAAAACAAAAAATTCAATTTTCCGAAAATTTCTTTTTTGTCCCAAAAGTAAGTGAAAAAAATTTTTTTTCCAATTTTCGTTCTTTTTACCTTAAAGCGTGCCTTTTAAGCTTTAATTTCCTTATTTTAAATTTTTTTTCCGATTATTTTTACCCTACTTCCGAAGGGACAACGTCGGGGAGTGTTAATGAAAAACGGAAAATTTTAACAGAATATCTTAAAAAAATATAAGAAATAAAGTCATTCTTGCTAAATTCACTCTCTGTTGATGTATTTCTAGCGAGTTAAAAGAAGTATATAAAAAGGTTGAGAAAGCAAAAAAAGGATATCGGGTTGCTAATGGCCGTGAATTTTACCCGAGCCATAAAAACGTATGCAGGATATATACGTATATATAATCGAGGGAAGCTTTAAGGGTTTCAAATTCGCTTTTCTAATTACCGATGATCGTAACTGAGAATTTCGAAAGTCTGACTGATTTTGCAGGTACTCTAAATCATGTAAGGTTAGTATAGTACCGAGGGTCAAGTTCTCGGGCATCATTAGAGTTTATAAACATGAACGTATCTCTAATGGCTATTCGCCATTAGCCTAGAGTTTTAGTGTCCATTAAAAAGCCCATAAAAAAAAAGGAAATGGAGACCCAGAAAGAAGAAGAAAAATAAAAATGGGGTGAACTGTTGTACTTGAGAACTCTCCAATTATGCAGCAGTCGATTCTCGCGTGCGATTATCGCTCGGTACTAGAGACACGACCGGAAAGGGTGACTCTATAATACTGTGTCATATTGTACCTTCTACCCTCCGGCCTTTGGAGACTGTACTTGTACTGTAGCTCACTTGAATCAACCGACTAACCATAGCAACATAACCAAGCCCCTTCAGATCCTCTCGACCCTAGGTATGCCTCCGCACAAAGAGTTTGCACGCGTCCCCAGCACACTTGCACGCGAAAATCCGTAATTGCTCCGCGCCGTTGAGCACCGAAACTACTGTGCGTGTTTTACCAACCAATTTACTGCGATGTTCTGAAAAATAATTACACGAAATATTGATTTTACAGAAATAAACCACCTTATTTTTTTAAGGAAAAGTGACAGCTAAATCGAATTTTTTGCGTTACCTTCGATCTTGTTTGCTGAGACTCTAGGGGCAACTCTGCTGGGAATATCGGTGCTATAAGCACGGATCAGCTTGTTTGGAGATCAAAAATACGAATTCTTTGGCTTTGGTACTATCGAGACCAATTTCTGATGAAATATCATATTGATGAAGTCTGCATATTGATAAATTTTAAGGAAATTCAATTCTCTACAAATTTTGACTCTTACAAAATTATCCTAATTCCAATATTTCCAAAGTTAGAGCCGTTTTAAGTAAAATTTTGGATCTAGTGAAGTTATGCAAGGAATTTTGGTCATTATTTTTATAATTTTGAAGATAATAAGCATTATTTAAAGTGCAGTTTAATCGGATTGGATATTGTCGGATAGGGAATACAATTTCCGACTAATTTTGACTAATTTTGTCAAAAATTATCGTAAACCCTATATTTCCAAAGTTAGAGCCGCTTTAAGTAAAATTTTGGATTAAGTGATGTTATGCAAAGAATTTTGATCATTATTTTTATAATTTCGAAGATAATAAGTATTATTGGTGGTGCAATGCAATCAGATAACATATTACCTAAAATGTGATGAAATTTCCTTCAAATTTTGTCTGTTACAAAATAATCCTACTTCCAACACTTCCAAAGGTATATAATAGCTGTATAGGTACTGCATCCAAATGCTAACTATCATCACCTAATTTGATGAAGAACCAGCTTCAAACTCTCTAAAGTTTGACTGAATCCAAAGCATCTCCATTAAACTACTTAGTACAAATAACTTCCTACCAACTTCTGATGAAATCAAGCCCAACAGATGGATTTCCGATCAATCTTGGATCCAATCTCAGGTCTTATCACAACTTTCAAGACTTCCAACCAGAAATCGAAGACTAGACTTTCCATCGGCGGATTTAAAGCAAAAAACAAAGCCAGGGTAATTGGCTATGCATTCTAGTTGATGAACCTTGGACGAGCAGCGAACTAGATCAATCACCTGGTTTCTTGAGCCCATTTGTCTACTCGGATATCGATTTGCAGCTCACCCTCGTTCCTTGGACAGCTGTCCTTACCCTTCTTATCAACGAACTAGATTCTGTTTGGAGTTCCGCATTGGTAGTCCCCAGCTAGTGTCTATACACCAACACCTAGCCTTTTAATGTCCCGGGAGATTGGTGGTATGCAAACATTTCCATCATATGGGTGGTAGACTCTGGGGTTGACTTAAAGATTCGTACGCTTTTATATTTATTTTATTCCGGCAAACAATGTCGATGTGGCCGGGGTGCGTTACGGGTGTCACTAATTGAAGGGGGTGCAGGGGACAAAACCTTGTTATCTCTTAATTGCTACAACCCTCGTTTGCATCGATAAGAACTTGGCCTCCTCCGCTTCCACTAGCACGTGGCCACCTTACAATGCTTTTTTACTTCGGCTTCGCCAGATACTACGTCATCTCTTCACCCCTTCGCTGCTCCAGGGTCATAAAATTTATTTCGGGTTTATTGTCACGATAACGCTGAGGTAGATTAATTGCAACCGAGGTTTATGATTTTTGTTGATTAGATCTGTTGGATTCTTGAGTGAATTACATACTTTAGAGCTAAGCTACAATTCTTTGGCAAAAGCTCTAGAATCTAGCAAATCGGGTCATAAAATTCATAACCACCCACTCACATTCTTGAGTCAATCGACGTATGAAAAAGTATAAAAAATGCCGTAAAGCCGGTCGATTTGAAGAATTCATGGTCATCTGGAATACTGACGGTGAATCCGTAGCGTTGCCAGAGTAATGGGGTGTAGGTAAGCCCTGGATAGAGACGTGCGAGGTCGTTAGTGCCCGTACTCGCGGTGCATGTCAATGAGCTAGATTCTGGATAGGACGAGGGGTAGCAACTACAGCGACTACAGCGCCGAGGAACGGAATGGGTTCAAGCCTCCAGGGAATCGAGACAAAGCCTTGGAACGGGGAGTCTGTTTCCATCCAGGTTTACCGAATCCACCTATAATCGAACTCGTTACTTCGATTCATGGATTCGTTTTCGTGATAAGAATTCGTGATTATTGAGTTATAAAAATTCGGATTTTCAATGGAATAATATATCAGAGTTGATGAAGTTCCTAAATGCTGGCTGGAGGTTATATTAGTTCCGATCAACAAAATAGACTAATACTTGTTAGAGGAACTCTGTTAAAGGCGAAAGGGGAGCTGGTCAACGAAGCATACGACAGACGACTACATATTAGACTAGCCAGGGGCGAAGCGTCCTTTGCCACCGGACACGCTTCGTTTCTCGATTCATTCTTTCTTTATTTTACAATCGAGCATGCACTGAGTTATCTGGAGTTGAGAGTATTGAGGGTCGACGGTTACCCGGCAACCGTTCGACAACAAGTCGCCCCTTAACCCCAATACATTCACCCCTTCTCTAATATATGTCTTTTCAATTACCAAGTCCTACTGTTAATCCAAATATTTGCTTACAATTAGCTCCCAATTAATATTTACGGTATATGATTATCATGATTTGTCATTGGTCATTTCAGAAAGACGAGCCTCTACCGAGTCTTCCGGTTCCGCATCTCGAGACTACCATGCAAAAATACCTGGCCCAGGTGGAGGCTATCAGCCCGACTCATTTGGACCGTGCCAGGATTCTCGTCCGCCAGTTTTTGTCTGGCCCGGGGCCAAAACTTCAGCAGAAACTTCTCGAACGCAGGCAGACTACTGCTAATTGGGTAAGTTAATGATTTGTTTATTGGTTCGTGATATTGATGATGATGATGATGATGACCAGTTTTTACACTTGGAAATTACATCGAATTTAGATATTATAAAAATTTATTGATTGAAATTTAACTTTAGCTGAGGAGGTTACAATTATGATAGAATTCGCAAAAAAAAAAAACCGTTCAAATCCATCAATTTTATAAGAAATTGCTATATCATGATGTATTATAGGGATATTCATCATGATATTGATGATAATGATATTATTAATTGTGATATTCATCATGGCATTAGTAATTATAATAATGGTATTTATCATCGTCATGATATTGGTGGTAGTGATATTTACCATGATATTGATGAAATTGATATTCATCATAGCGTTGATGATGATATTAATGACTATGATATTTATCATAGCGTTAATAATGATATTAATAAATGTGATATTCATCATGGCATTGGTAATTATAATAATGGTATTTATCATCGTCATGATATTGGTGGTAGTGATATTTACCATGACATTGATGAAAGTGATATTTATCATGACATTGATAATAATATCAATGATTGTGATATTTATCATAGCATTGATAGTGATTGTGATATTGATCATGATATCGATAATGATATTGTTTATAGTGATATTCATCATGTTGATAATTACAATGATAATAGTGATATTTATCATGAAATTAATAATGATCAATAATGATATTAACTGATAAAAATCTTACTTTTAGCCCTAAGAAAAAGTGATAATTAATTCAAAAAAGCTCTAATTCGTCAATTTCACGAAGAATATCACTGAAAAGATGATTCTACACACCGAAATTCTATAAAATTTTGATATAGTCTAAAATAATTTATGCAAAACTGATCATCATCATCATCATCTAGGCAGTTCTAGAGAAGAAAATGATCATGTTAGAAAGCATGATAATTCAACTTTAAATATTGATCATGCTTTTTAAAATCTCAGAGAGCTTCAATGAAAGCTTGAGTTCACTGCACTCTGATTAAAATTGCATCACCTGAAAAACATACTTAATATTAACGGCGTAGCTCCATTGTTCGTAGAAAGGCTATTTACTTTTTTGGATCCAAAGTCGGCTCGTAAATCCATTTATTTATTTATTTATTTATGTGCTCGGGGGGTTTAGCGAGGAGTAGAATAAACTGAGTTGGGCAGAAGGGAGCAGGAGCAGGGAAAGAGGGTAGGCAGGTTGATGGGCTTATGTACGGATGTTGAAGAAGTAAGGAAGTAGCTGAAGGTGCTCTGTCGAGTTGGGTTTCAGGGGTAGAGGTAGTTTGGGGTAGTTTATCCCCGGGGACCACCCCAGCCGAGGGGATCACAAAAGTCATGGCAAGCACTACACATTAGACACAAAACAGAGATAGAGATAGAGGAGACCAGAAATGACGGGTCCCGTTTTAGAGCAGAGACGCAACTGGGTCTCTTGAGGACCAGCCGCCCCTTCCGGGGTAAAAGTTAAAACGGAAATGCTGTTGTGTCAGTTTGTTAATCTTGTCAATTATTTATTTCGATTTAAACTAGATTTTTAAGTGCTTAAAAGCCATTTCTGTTCTTGCGTATTTTATGATGAGTCTACATCGATATATTTAAGTAGAGTTTGAAAAAACTTTCACAATCTGGACATTCCACATCAATTTTCATTAATATTGATGATATTTATGATGATAACGATAATGATCATGATAAACATGATGATATTCATCACGGTATTAAAATTATCATCGATAATCATAATGATATTTATCATAATGATATTCATGATATTAATGTACATGATGATATTTCTAAAAATAATGATGTTAATAGAGATGGTGATATTCATCATGGTATTATCATTATCATTGATAATCATAGAGATATTTATTATGATGACGTTCATGATATTAATATACATGATGATATTGATAGATATGGTGATATTCATCATGGTATTAACATTATTGTAGATAATCATAATGATATTTATCATGATGACGTTCATGATATTAATATACATGGTGATATTCCTAATAATAATGATGTTAATAGAGATGGTGATATTGATCATGGTATTATCATTATTGCTGATAATCATAGAGATATATATTATGATGACGTTCATGATATTAATATAGATGATGATATTTATAATGATAATGATATTGATAGATATGATGATATTCATCATGGTATTAACATTATTGTAGATAATCATAATGATATTTATTATGATAACTCTAATGATATTGATATTCATGATGATATTAATGTCAATATTGATAATCATGATAATATGCTGATAATGATAATGATATTTATCATAATAATGATATTTGAAATGATAATGATATTCATCATGATATTAATATTCGTGATAATATTGATATTATTCATAATTACGATATTGATATTCATACTGATATTTATCAATACATTAATATCAATATTAATAATCATATTGGCATTGATATTCATCATGATATTTCGTGATTTTGTTATTGTACAGATGAACAGGAAAATAGTTAAGGGGGGAAAGAAGGTGTATTTTGTTGGCCGAAATGTCAGTGAGTGAGATTGAATTGGCGAGTTTCTGATGGATAGGAAAAATAAACGAGATTGAGATTGGAATTGAGAGAAAATGTATTTCACAAATCGAAACTCTGATGGGGTGGCAAAATTGAATGAGAGGGATGAATTAACTGACGAAAAAATGCAAGAAAGACAAAGAATTTTTCAAAATTTACAAGTTAAAATGCTTTTCAGTGTCTTTAGATCCGCTCTGTGTTGGTGGAATTATTGCCCTTGCCAAAAGGGTAGATTGTATTGTGCTATACACTATATACACAGAAGGATTTATAGCGGGGGTGGTGGTAAGCTAATATTACGGTATCCCGCGGCGAACTGGAAAATTTCATTGGGACTTCCATTATTCATTCGTCGTCTTTCATCTGTTTTAGTTTTTTTTTTTTTTTTTTTGTTTTATGGTTTATGTCTTCAGTTGTTTAGATCTTTCGATGTTATAATATTTTTTTAAAATGATTGGAATATTTCACCCATAAAGACATTGAATATAATAATGTAAGGTAAAATGGAGCTTCTGCCACTAAAATTAATATTTTAATGACATTTAAGGAATAAAAACGCAAATAGGATTATCGGAAAAGCCCTGAAGGACTTAGTTTACAAAGACAGAATAATTACGACAGCTTTCTTCAAACAGATCTTTGATCTTTTAAATTTAATATTTTCTCACTCTTGAGTGTTTTCTCAACAAATATTTAGATTTATTTCGTTATGATTATTATGATAACAATCGTAATAACAATATTGATGATATTAATAATAGTGATATTCATCATGAAGTTATAATGATATTGACGTTAGTGATGGCAACTAATAAGATATTGATAATGATATTTATCATGACATTGGAAATTGTATTAATACTAAAGATACTGATCATGCAGCTAATAATAATATTACTGTTAATAATGATAATAATGAATATGGTAATGATAATGATATTCATAATGGCATTGACAATGACATTAATGATATTCAAAATTTTATTGACAATAAAACCAGTTATAGCGATAATCATCATGTTATTGGCAATAATAGCGATATTCATCATGCTACTGGTAATGATATTGATATTATTGATGACGATGATGATAATTTAATAATCAATAAGATATTGATAATGATATTTATCATGACATAGGAAATTATATTAATACTAAAGATATTCATCATGCAGCTAATAATAATGTTATTATTAAAAATGATAATAATGAATATGGTAATAATCATGATATTGACAATGATAGCGATATTCATCATGCCGCTGATAATGATATTAATAGTATTGATGATGACTGATGATAATCAATAAGATATTGATGATGATATTCATCATAATATCAATAATGTTAATAATTATGATGATATTTATCATGATAGTAACCATAATAATAATAATAATAATAATAATAATAATAATAATAATTACTCTACAAACTCAAGAGTCTACAATATAAAAAATTGTTACTTTCCGCCATAAAATAAATAATTAAACCCGTTTTTATGGGTTTAATACACTATTGATGAGCAATTAAACTTTTATGAAAGTCGTTACCCTTCAGAATTAAATCCAATGCAACGTGGATTTTTTTTTTTTTACTTAGTCACGAAACGGCCGCACAAATACATAAAAGTACAATCACACATACTATGTATAAATGTAAGGTACTTTTAGTTTCCCCTATAAATAGAGACGCGTGACGGCAGTAACGAAAACAGCTCGGACTGGTGTCCCTTAGGCGCAAAAGAGAAAAGTACCTAATCCCATAACGAAAAGGAAAGCGCTTAGTTGTATAAAAGTAAGATCCTCGTATCCGAGGCTAAAAAAAAACCACCCCGTAACTTTCTTTCCCAGGAGACCCAGACGAACCGATAGCTTTTTTTTACAGCCGCTTTTTGCGCTTTTTCAGCCTCTGCCGTCAAACAAATAAATTTATACGCCGCTCTACACATATTGCTGCGCTTCCAGAGGCTAAATTGCCGGAATTTACCAGTTAAGCCGCACCACATGCGAGAAGACGGCCTTATGCGTCATCTAGCGGTCAAAAGTAATACTAATCGCGAAAATTTGAGTTTTTAAGGAGAATAGAGGTGTATTTTCAAATTTTAGAGCAAAATATGAATATTTTATCAATATTCGAAGGGATGAACGATGGAAAGGACAGAAGAATTGAGCAATTGAGCAAAGGAAAACGTAATCTAGGCAATTTAAATGTTTGTCCCCGTGAACAAGAGGGCTGGGATGGTGGTAGTGATTGTAGTGGTGTAACTGGTTGTCGTACAGACAAGAATAAGGGATGAACGCCGGCTATCGCTCACGTGCTACGGAGTAATCCCTTGTTGAAACAAACGTTAAGCCCTTTGGATTGTCTGCGGTATTGCGTGCTGATACACCACCATTTTTATTCTCTACTATCTCTTTTGTCGGTGTGTTTGTTTCAGTGTGTGTAAGTGTGTTTAATACAAGTTCGTTACCGTTATCCACCAATTCAACCCTAGTACCCAATCCCTGTAAATATGTCGCTTATGGAATTGCTCGATTCCGCTAGTCA